GCCATGAGGCGAGGCCCGGCGCAGCCACCGCCCCTGCCCGGCCCCGGGGCCCGCCCGCCGTGGGGCGAGGCCCGGCCCAGCTGCCGCCCGCAGGGACCGGGAGATCTGGCCTGGCCTGGCGCTGCGGGCGGCCCGCCCGCCGTGAGGCCAGAGCGGGCCCAGCCGAGCCCAGCGGCCAGGACCCACAGGCCCGGCCCAGGGTGGGCGGGCGGCGGGGGAAAAAACCGGGGGAAAAAACCCCTGCTCCCGCTGCGCTGCCTTCACCCACCAGAAGTAACGTCCAAAGGGAAAAACAACCCAGATTTTGTTTATACAGGTTTCCCAAATAATATAAAATCATAGAATTGTCACTATCAGATCGTCGAGTTCAACCATCAACCTGACACAAAAACCATCACTAAAAGGTACCGCTAAGCAAATACATACACACACTCTTAGCTGGCAGCAGCTGGATATCAAAGTTTATAATATGAGGCACTATTGGAAAAATACCTTTAAAAAACCCTATGCCACTGAGGGAAGTTCTGTGAGGCATCAACATTTCTCTTTTGGATGAAGAGCCAGACTATCGCTAGTCCCTGTGAGCCATCAGGAGCATGAAATGGGCTGTGAGGAGCGTTGGAAGGATGGCGACATGCAGAGGAACACAAATCGATGGGGACGCAGCGGAGACCTGGAAAAGGGCTGCAAAAAGGGGAAATAAAGAGCATCCACAGCCATCTCCATCTCCCCAGGCACAGCTGGTCTGAAATCCACACTTGTGGCCAGTTCCGGGACACACAGTGCCGCTTCGCAAGAAAAGCATAAAGTCCAAAGTAAGTTGTTACCTCTAAGTTGGCCGCAGGACACTGTGGGCCTCCTTGTGCTCATCTGCACTGCTTTCACACTTCCCTGCTCTCTTCATCACTCTTTGCCTTTCTTGCCCAGTAATTTCTGCTCATTTTGGAGAACAAGCCATATGGGAGTTCAGCCTGGAGAAAAGGAGGCTGAGGGGAGACCCCATTGCTCTCTACAACTCCTCTGAGAGGAGCAGTTTTCTGTGATGGTACCTCGTTACGCTCAAGTGCTCGGCTGCTGCAGAGCGGATGCTGTGTGTGAGAGCACCCTTCCCCTTAAAAGCTCAAACCACACAGTTTTCTGTTTTCTCTGGAAAATTGCACCCCATTTGCCACACAGTTCTACTAAATGAGAAGTTCGCTGGGGAGCTTGGACCTAGAGCATGTCCTGAGAAAAGAGCTCTTTCTGTTGCAGGCTGCTGCCCTAGACCAGCTGGGCTTTTCTACTCTCTTCCTTCAGGCTCAGCACCCCCTGGAATATTCCTGGATCTATCCCCCATGGAGACACCTGGAACCCTTCAGCGGGAAGGTCACTTGAAACAGGCCCAGAAACGAGGTTTTTCCTAAGAAGCCCCAAGTGCTTCCTGGCTGGAGGAGGGTCAGAGAAAGCGGGAGAAGCTGAGCTGCGTACGGGAGCTCTGATGGCAGCCCCCCTGCGCTGCTCCACATTCCCAAAGTGCTGAGAAATTTGCCAGCTCCAGGGCCATGTGGTGGAACGGAGGATTTAGCTGGTGCTGCATGGATTGGCACAGCCTCTAATTTGCGAAAACCCTTACCCCTACGTCCTTGGTGTCTGAAGCACATTCGTTCCACGCTTGCCTTGTTTCACCCTTTTGTGTAGGAACCTGCCGGGGGCAGGATGGGCCTTTTGACCAGCAGAGCTGTCACTTCCCCCAAGTCCACTTGGTCTGTTCTGTAGAAAGCAAGGACAGAGGAAAACTGCAGGTGATGCAGCCCATTTGTGGAAAACTAACCAACTGCCAAGGCGGTCTTGTGAACGCTGTGGGGAAAAGACTACCAAGGGGAAAGAAGCTGGGTCAGAGAGAACAGGAGACCCAGAGCTTCAAGGATCAAGCTCTTCTGCAGCGGTCCCCAGGGATCACAGGTTACATCTCAGAGGAAATAAGGGCACCCCCAGTGCAAAACGCTCATGCAAGAGGGAGATCTTCACCAGGTCTTTGCAGGAAAGAGGCATCACAGAGAGGTCTAAGATCGATGGGCACAGAAGGGATAAAGCTGAAGCTCTGCTTCAGGATCCATGTGAGAGATCCAGGCATGGACTGTCAGGAAAGACTCTGAGGCTGCTTGGGAAGCAAGTCCCCACACTTGCCAGCGAGATGTCTGGTAATCAGCTCGTACAGCAAAAAATAACAATCCTTGGCTGTCAATCAGGTTATTTCACCACCCTTGTGTTTGGGGAGAGAGAAAGGACTATTGTCTTCAAAGCATGACTCCTAACTCACTGGCCTTCTACAGGACTATTAAGTCCTTTTTTCTCGCTAAGTCTGCTCGTTCAGAGGGATGGGACTCAGCCTGTGTCACTCATACATAGTCCTGTCCTCCTGGCTGCCTCTGGGACAGCCCCATAGCCACAAACTGAGTATCTGCACCAGAGACAGCACTTACAGGAAAAGGCTGCCGAATCAGATTTTACCTTACTCATACTGGAAGCTGAACCTGGAATTTACCTGGCATGAAGACGATGTGGACAGACAGTCTGTCCAGGTACCAGTGAGATACTGGAAAACCTTGTGTACTTATTTGGCGCAGACTGCTACTTCCCGAATTATCTGGTCTCCTCCTGCTCAGCTTCTACGCAGGAGTACACCAATAATCCTCAGGATTTACAGACTTTAAACCTGTCCACAAGTCAACAGCAGAACTAGACAAAGAACGGCATTGCTGCTGTTAAGGCCCTGGGCCAAAGGAAACAGGGTGTTGTGCAGCTCTCCAACGGGGAGTGTATGCGCAGGGTTTAAGCTGGGGATTAGTGACCCCTTTGCCCGAGCACTCAAATCTGAGGCCAGTGACTCAGGAAAAAGCTTCAGAGCCGGGGCAGGTTGGGCGGGGAGAAACGGGAGGGACAGACATGGGAATGGGCTGGAACCAGTTTAAGATGAATTCAGATGAAAGTCTCACAGCATCATTAAATATCTGACGGAGATTATCCAAGCACCCGCATTCCTTGGGACAAGACCTCAGGCTGGGATCCCGCAGAGGCAGGAGAGGTTTCCCAGCAGAGGCACAGGAGTTTGTGAGCTCTTTTCCCCATTTGCTGAAATCACCCAATGGAAAACCTGAGAACCAAACCCGCAGCATGGGTACCAGCTTTCTGTGGGGATTCTCCTCTCACCTCCATGGAAGTGGTATCCTCCCTAAGCCGTGCCTCTGGCTGCCCTCCTAGAGACCTGAGGTCTCTGGCCCCTGGTAAGGAGCCAGTGATGCTGATCAAGGCGTGAAGGCCACCGAGAGCAGCCGTTTGGCCTCTGCTGTCCACCAACGTTGCTTCCTTTGGGGATTAGGGAAGAGGAGCTCTGTACTGGCCGGGCCCAGTCTCTAAGCTCCAGCACTCTGGCAAAAAGTTTTCATCCTCACCCCAAACATTTTTGGGATGTTCTCACTAAACCCTAGTGCCTCCTCTAGCAGTTTCACTGAATTTCACTGAATTTTAGAGTTGGAAGGGACCATAGAGATCATCTAGTCCAACCCCCCTGCTAAAGCAGGATTGCCTAGAGCTTGTCAGAGCGTGTTACTCAGGACTGCATCCAGGTGGGTCTTGAAAATCTCCAAAGAAGGGGACTCCACAACCACCAGTTGCCACCAGAGCGAGCCATTCAGTGGTTTGCGTGGCTGCACCTGGGAAGCTTTGCTGCCATAAATAAGGCAAGGAACCCACCCAGCTCCCAGTTCTGTTTCTGTTCTGGTACTGGGTAAGTCACACATGCTCCATTTCAGGATACATAGGGGGTCTCCGTGACACACCACAGCTACTGTGATCATCATTGGGTACAGGCACAGGGAAACACACAGCCCCCTGAACTACAGGAAGACAAATCTGGACAGGTTTAGCCTCCTCCTGTCTTTCAGGCAACTACTGCAGACCCGTGCCTGAAGCTTAACAAGACGGGGGCAGTTCTCTGTCCTAATTCAGGGCTGTCCAAGGTCCCTCTGTGTGGCACCCACCGCACTGCGCAGCCTGCTGTGATCTGCAAACTCGCTCAGGGGGTGCTTGATCCCCTTCTCTGTGACATTAATTAAAACATGGCACAGTCCTAGTGCAGTCACCTGAGGGACACTGCTTGTTACTGGTCTCCACTGGGACATGGAGCTGTTGACTGCAACTCTTTGGATGCCACCACCAGCCAGTTCCTCGCCCATCAACAGTTCACCCACCATACCCACATCTCCTCCCGTTCCCTTACACAGACGTCAGGAAGATGGTACCCGGGGCCACGGAGAGGGTGAGATGGCCTTTTGTCAGACACCTGACTCGTCAAGACATTTATAAAGTTAATTTTGTAAAATACCATCTTGGCAGCCACGTGAGATGGATGGTGCACAAAGAGCTGCTGATCAGCACTCAGGCTGTCAGTCTTTAACCTTCACTC